GGTTCACCTGATCCTGGGGATTAGGTAGTGAGAGTGGAGACTTAATGAATTAAGGCATGTGGTGTTGAGTCAGAACTAGAGGACAATGGCCATGTCAGTAAATTATATCTGCAAATCTATTTTACTGTTGCCAAGCAGTAGAGACCTCTGTCTTTCCTTACCAGTCCTCAAAGGCTCTTTCTTCTCATACCTGCTCTTTTCCTTATTGTTCTCCTGTTTGAAAAACCTAGCACGGTGTTGAACATCCCAGGAAGAAGGACTGGTTCTCAGTATTGAAACTTTTAATTACAAGTAGCATAGTGACTTGATTATCATGGTAGTACAATAGTTAAAAAGGTTTTAGAAGCCTAAGGCTTTTGGTCTAGGACAGGGGTTGGCAAACTGTGGCCCGTGGGGTAAATCCTTTCAGCTTGATGCTTAATTTTTAAATGAAATAAAATAAATATATGTTATATATTTTCTGTGGCTGCTTTCATGCTGCAATAGCAGTCTTGAATTGTTGCATCTGACCATCTGTCCTGCACAGCCTATAGTATTTATTTTCTGACCTTCTGTAGAACAAGTTTGCTGACCCCTGGTCTGGAGAAACAAGCCCATTAACCGATAAGCAGAAATAAAATGAGTCTTTCTGTCAGGGTGAAAACTCATGTTTCCTCAGAGACTCATAGGTACCGTTCATGATGATAAGGGTGGCGCTATCCAAGAAACTGGGACTAGTCTTAAAGGTCTTGTCTCTCTTTTTTTTTTTTTTTTTTTTAATATTTTTATTTATTTGCGAGAGAGTGAGAGACAGAGAGCATGAGAGGGAGGAGGGTCAGAGGGAGAAGCAGACTCCCCGCTGAGCAGGGAGCCCGACGCGGGACTCGATCCCGGGACTCCAGGATCATGACCTGAGCCGAAGGCAGTCGCTTAACCAACTGGGCCACCCAGGCGCCCTAAAGGTCTTGTCTCTTAAAAGTATAATAATATATTCATTGAAGTAGCATTGTGAACACAATACTCCTCACATCAGAAATAAGCACTGTTTGTAGAGTACTTAAGTTAGTCACGTAGATGTATGTGGTCCTCCAGTAGCCTTCTAGTATATGTGCTGCTGAAGCAAGCACATCCTCCGATAGCCTTCTAAAAAGCACTTTATAAAAAAGCTACCTCCCTTGTATCTGGCTTTCCTCTTGTAGCTCCTGCCTGCCCTAAGAGTTAGTACTAGAAAAGAAAGAACTCATTTAACGGTGTACCAGGATTAGGCTTAGAGGATGCAGAATTAACGGAGGTGGGAAGGGGGTCCAAAGAACGAAATCAAGAAATTTAAGAGGCCTCCTTTGTTGTTGGAACTGAGAGGATTAGAAAAATCCTACAGATGATCTTAGTAACTACCTCTTTCCAAGGTACATAAGTAAAATGAGTAACATCAAGAATGCATTAGGGTTTCCTAGCTGAGTGAGCAGTCTTTATACAGTTTGTGCCATGTAGCAAGGAATTTTATTGAAAGGATGAGTTAGAGGATCCCATTGATTTCTCATGTCTTTTATCAGTGTCTTGCCAGTGTTTGAGTTTGTCTGCTGCACCATTCATGGCTTCAGGGAAATGTCTCGAGTGTCCTTTTCTTTAATTCAGTATCTTAATTTTACTCATCTTCCTGTTGTTCATCACTTATTTATTGACTTATGGTTATTTGAAATTCTCCTACCTAAAAAAATGGTTTTGTGTAATGAAATGTAATTTTTTTAGGCAATGGCAATCTATCGAACATTCAAAACTGAGAAATACCAGTACCTTTTTTTTTCATTATCTCTAGAGATGCTATCTTGTGGCCAATACTGTTAAGCCTGAAATTTCAGCCTCTAGTCTTGTTTATTTTGTCAGAAAGTAACTGTTTCCTTTTAAAATCATGACAAAGCCATTCTGTTAGATATAATTAGTTATGACCTGGGAGTTGGATATGATGAGATGACTTAGTTTTTAATAATAATCATGTGAGGACACATTTCATTGATATTCTCCTTCTCAATTTATATTAATTAGAAAAAATCAATACTTAGTCTTTTCCTTAATACAGAGTAAAAACAGGATTATTAATTAAAGGCACATTTTATTTTGGACCTAAAGCATAACTACATTATGGTTTTAATCTTAAATGAGATATATGTAAAATTGTTACATATGCTAAGGATATTTGTACAAATTTAGGATATTCTTAATCTTTATAAACTAATGGTAATATATGCTTCTTTATGTTTGGTTATTTTTGAAGATGCTTTTAGTAGATTATTATACCTTAAAATATTACTAAGTTCTTCACTGAAACCTTAAACTAAACACTTTTTAGTGTAATTTTTCCTGAGTTGTTTATCCTCTGAATAAAATAGTATCACTTCTTTTGAAGTGATACTAGTTGCCAAGTCCAAAGATGTAAGGGGAGACATAGAATCTGTTCTTTTGGTGGACTTATATTAGGAAAATAGCATGAAGCCTTAATACAGTGTTAGCTTGTTCTGACCTGAGCATCTTCTTAAATTTAGTATGTAGACACAAGCTTCTTAGGGAAAAAAAAAAGCACTGTTGATGAAGTCATTGCACATTTGTTAAAATTATAGCTTCCTTTTTCATAAATGTATTTTATGCGTCATTTAAATTTTTAAATTTACAACTTGTTAGTCATTGGTTTGTAAAGAACCATTCAGAGTTCTAGATTTATATAGTAATAAAACTACTCAGTTTTTCCAGCTTTTTTTGTCTAAGGAGCTTTTTGGAGGGCATGCTTTATTTTTATGTTTCTATTTATTTAAAATGCAACCATGTTTCATAGGAGACATCTATACATAGAAGATAATACAGTTGTAAAATGACTTAATGTTCTTTTACTGTTCCATTTGAATATTAGAAAGAATAATTTCTTTAGTGAATTTCAGTTGCATATAAATATTTATCATATTCAGTATTCCCCAAACGGGACTTTTATTATTAAAAATCTGATACAATGCTTAATTACTCAGAATATATTCCAATAATTTAAATTCTATTGAATATAATATTAAGTTATTTCTAAAAATACACACACATTAGGTAGTATAAACACCTATTTTTATCTATTCAGATCTTACTGGATTTCACACATAGTAGCCAACCCCTGCCAGCTCTCTGTGAACTCTCTGATTTAGTCATTTACATGGATTTATAATTATTCTGCATTTATGCAATCTGATTTTGATCAGATGTTTCTTTTTTCTATTAATGTAAGCTAATTGTAGCACAGCTGATTTTTCATTTTCCATTGTAAGAGAGGAAAGAGCACAGCATAAAAAATTATAATTTAAAAATAATTTTGAAATCTCAGTCAGGCGTATTTTTAATTTTTTTCTTCACTAAAAATTTCTGCAACCACCTTATTACTTCAAAAGTTTTTCAGTAATACACCTAACAAGAAGCCAAGTGGACAGCTTTTATTATTTCATTTTAGTTCATGAATCTGGTTTGTGTTAGAGGTGCTAAGAGTGAATGATTCATGACTAAAAGATGAGGGTGGCATGTGGGGGTGGTAAAAAGCAAAGTTTTAGATAATCCACATGCTGAATAATCCTTGAAAAACAGCACATGAAGAAAACATTTCACAGAATGCTTTTTATATTATTTGTCGCAGGAATATATTATTCTGACCAAAAAAAATGCTACTACAGAAAACATCATAATAAAATATTTGCGTATTCTGTCTGACCCAAATAATCTTATTTAATACTTTTAAGATTCTAATCCTTTTAAAGAATGAAGTGATTATTGAAATGTTCTGCAATCCCTTAGTTACAGTATTAGTATATTATGGGGTCTGTTATTATTTTTCAAAGATTTCATTTAAGTATAAGTCTTTATTGTATACCGTGTTTGCATTATAGTCATCTAAGAGAGATCTTTTAGCCCTACCATGTAGTTGAAATTGCCCTTAAGATTCGTCATATTTATAACATCAGTAAAAAATAATCAAAAGCAGCCTGGAGTAGTCTCCAGTGGTTGCAGTTAAATACCTCATCTCATTGCCTTACTGGAAACTTATATATTAATTTCTTTATGCTCCTTACCACTGATAGGGCTACCATGGGTTGTCATGGTGAAGAATGCATTTCACACAGTCTCCAGATTTTTAAAATTTCACTATCAGAAACGATTTTATCTTATAGAGTTCATTTTAAGAGTTTTTTAAGCTTATATTCCTTTGCAACCAATGTAATTTCTAAACCTTTTATCGGTTTTGTAGAGATACTTGGTTACAGCAAATGGTGTTACTAAATTTTTTCATAAAGTTCTTACAGACTCATGCAATTAGTAATGCTCATTAAATATTGTTAATTGTCACCAATGTTATTATAACGTCATTCATAGAACTTCCTTAGATCCATTTTGACACTTCATTTTGTCCTTAAAAAACCAAACATAACGGATATTAAGGAGGGCACTTGTGGTGAACACTGGGTGTTGTATGTAAGTGATGACTCAGTAAATTCTGCACCTGAAACTAATATTACACCATGTTTAAATAAACAAAAAGGGCAAAACTAAAAACACAAAACAAAAAACCCCAAAACTCTCTGAAGGTAATCTCAGAAATTTGTTGTCTTGCAGTTTGAGCTGTCTTAACACTTAAGCAGCTTTCCAAATGGCCACTCACCACGTGCAAAATGGTCAGGTGCCTTTTAAACATTAAATTCATTCATGTGATTGCTTCAATTGAGAATGTCCTGGGAGGAGAAAAGAGGAGACTGGATTGCAAAGCTGACTTAAATCCCTTACTGTTAAAACCTGATTATGTACGTTGACATTTTGCCCCACTGTTCAGCATTCCTTTTCAGTTCACGTCATGCTGAATTACAGGCAGATCATTGTTTTTAAAATATTTGGGAAAAGTCTATAGTACATTTTCTTAAATTGTAACAAGTTTGAAATGTAGTGTTTCCTGATGGAAAAATTCTGAGTATTCTAATGGCTTTTTAAAAAAATCATTTATTTGCTAGGTAAGTTCTCTTCTACGCTTTATGAGACTGGTGGCTGTGATATGTCACTTGTGAATTTTGAACCAGCAGCAAGAAGAGCATCCAATATCTGGTATGTGTGAAGTCATATTAGGAGAATGTATGTACTTGCATATATTTGCCATGTTTAAAGCTTTTAGTCCTTGAGATGGAAAAGTTATTTTGAAAACATTTGTTCACATTGGCTTAAATAATTTGTCACTGTGCATTTGTCTCCAAAGATTTAAGGTAGAATTTATTGTTCTGGAAGAAAGATAGCATTATTCTTAAAACAAAAGCTGTTATGTATTTTAAATATTAAATATTAAAAATTCCCTGTAGATCTTATAGTGGGGGGGGTGGTTTCCCACAATTTCAAATTTAACTATGGATTTTGTGCTACACACACGCACATGTGCGCGTGTTGCAAGATCAATAAAAAGCGTATTTAAAAAAGGCTTATTAGAAAAATACACAACTAAGTTCAAACCCATCAGTTCTCTTTGTGTAATTTAAAAATTTTATTTCTACATAAGGGTTTTGGTCAAGTATCTTTTTACATGATCATCTTTTCTTTTAAAATTTGTTTACCAGCTATAAGAAAGAGGAATTTCTTAAAATATGGGTCATATATTACATTTAGTTTCTTTTTTTTTTTTTTTAAAGATTTTATTTATTTATTTGAGACAGACAGAATGAGAGACAAAGAGCATGAGAGGGAGGAGGGTCAGAGGGAGAAGCAGACTCCCTGCCGAGCAGGGAGCCCGATGCGGGACTTGATCCTGGGACTCCAGGATCATGACCTGAGGCGAAGGCAGTCGCTTAACCAACTGAGCCACCCAGGCGCCCTACATTTAGTTTCTTTTCTCTCCTTCCCTTACGAAGAAATTACACTGTAAGATAAGGAAGAAGTTAGGAGAAAAGCAGATAAGAAATAGAAATCTTGAGCATGCAATCAGTTATATAACTTAGAATGTATTAAAGTTTTTTCTAAAATTTTAATCTTATTCACCTATTCATGTTGTTGCCTTGAAATCCATTATTAAGTGATTAGCTCACTTTTTTTTGCAGGGATCATTTGAATCCTATTTTAGGACTAATGTTTAATAATGGGACACACCTATTTAAATGTTACACATCTATGGGCAGTTCACTTATTTTTTTAAAGTTTTTAGGGGCCATTTAAAGCACTAGGATCTTGCAGTCACTTAGCTTAACTTGCTGGAGAGATAGAACACTTGCTAAGCTTCTTGAGTCCAGTTTCAGAACTGACCCTGTCGAGAATGACCAAAAATTTGAGTGTTAGGTGATTTCCTAACAGTGGAAACAATAGAAAGATGGAGCAATGGAAACAATTATGTTTAATGTAATTTAAGATAAGAACAATTCCTTACACCATAAATGTGGTAAGGTGTCAAGTTTCAAAAATCTAAACTTGACTGTGGAAGCGGAATGGTCACATTCTAAGCTGTTATAGCTTAAATTTGTTGTGGCTCCAGGCAATATGTTAATTGCTTTCTTAAACCCATCTCACAAGAACTTTGTGATAAGAGGTACTATTATCCTATGTTACTTAGGTGGACACTGAAGTGTAAAAGGTTGGATAACTTTCCCAAATCTCATTTAGCTGATGAAGAGATTTGAATATAGATACTCTGGCCCAGAGGCTATGTTCTTAATCACATCTGTAGGAAAATGCGATTTTGTATTTTGAAGTACTTGGAAAAGTGAAGACAGTGTAAATGTCATATAATTGTTAAAAGATTTATTTTTCTTTCTATTCCTTGACAAGCTATTTAGTCCCTAAAGTTTTTTTCATTTTATTTTAGTGACACGGATTCTCATGTATCCAGTTCTACCTCAGTTCGATTTTATCCACATGATGTGGTAGGTTTTCCTTTATTTTTATAAAATGATGTACATTCAGATTAAGTAGCGACACAAATCAGAAAAGTTGAGGTTATGAAATACCAATTTTGTTGAAAACTATGGCAAAATCTCCTTTGCTGTTCCATAGTGGCTCTCTTCTTGTTAAGTCCTTTGTTAGGAAATAAATATAAAACACCATGAAGTTTCATAAGCTGTGTATGAATCAGTAATTATACTTTTGAGAATATGTAAAGGTCCATTTACTCACCAATGTCATAATCTGGTTGTGCCATCTTAAAACTTGACTTTGAAAGTTTTGATTTTGAATATTATATTATCCAACTGTTAACTATTAGTTACTCATATACCAGTGTGTATGTGGGAAGCTTAGTGATGATATCGCTGTGTAAAAAATATACCATGTGAGGTACAGTGGGGATATTTTAAAAAGATAACAGAGCTTTTGCCCTCAAGCTGTATTTATTGCACTTAGAAAATACAAAAAAATTAAATTCTTTTTTTAACTTATCTTATTTAGATTCAATTAGTTAACATATAAAATGAAATTCTTATATGGAACACATAAATACATATAAATAAATGTAGTGCCAAAGGGGTTAATTATTAGTGGCTTCCTGAAGATGATTAGTTGTGAGCTGGCTTTTAAGACCATAGATGTGAGTTGGCACAGAACAATGGTTTTCAACATTTGGCAGTGTCTGAAAACACTTTTATTTGTCACAACTAGGGGAATGTTAACTGGTATCTAGTGAATGCGTAAAAGCCAGGGATACTATAAAACGTCCTACAGTGGACAGCACAACCCCCAGAGAAAGAATTATCTGACTGAAAATACCTGTAGTGCCAAGATTGAGAAACTCTGGCACAGAGGATAAGAAAAAAAGTGTTTGGGGAGGTACTTGTCAGTGCTAAGAGATAAAAATGGCTATGTTATTTATAGGAAGCAGATTTTCTTGACTATACCCACATATATGTTTGAAAAGTAAAGATTGTCTCTGCTTTTTTGCTGGAGTGTATTCCTGGAAACTTCATAGGAAAGCCAAAAATAGGGAAATGTTTTTTTGTTTGTTTTCTATGATTGAATAGTATGGGAACCTTGGGATAGTGAAATCCTGGCTAGGGCTGTGCTGGATAAGGGACACTTTAGACTCTTTCAGAGAAAGGGGAAACTGGTGAACTGTTGAGTGGATAAATTAAAGCTAAAAGAAATGTAATGTGGTAATTTCCTTATAGCCTCAGACGAGTAGCCTGCCAAAATGAAAGAAAAAAAGGGGGTGTAAGAGGGATTTGAAAACAACAGTGATAAGAGACTGTAGGAAGAAATGAGAGTTGAAGGCATTGAATCCAGTTCAGAGGAGCTTAGATTTAACTTGGTAGTGAGGTTCATAGCTTTGAGAAAAGGCCATAAATGTGGCAGGGAGAAGAGAAGCCACTAATGATTCACAGTGCATGATTTTAATGGATTCACTAGCTATACAATCATACAGTGTTAAGATTTCAAACACTTTTCCCAATACAGCTTTTCCAAAAGACCTATTGATTAATTTGCTTTAAGTTTACTTCCTATTATCACCTTTTGTAGTTTCTAATGATCATAAAATATCTGTAAGGAGTGTAGAGAATTAAGGGGACTTAGATAATCTGCAAGCTGATTGAGTAGCCCTTGAATCATGACTTAAGTCAAGATATTTAAGCCTTTCAGTGCTGACTTTCTTTTAGCTCTCTCTTCCGCAGATTCGATTGAACAGACTATTGACCATCGATACAGATTTGTTGGAGCAACAAGACATTGATCTAAGCCCTGACTTGGCAGCTACTTATGGTACAACAGAAGAAGCTGCTCAAAAGGTTAAACACTATTATCGCTTTTGGATCTTACCCCAGCTATGGATCGGCATTAACTTTGACAGACTCACACTTTTGGCCCTGTTTGATAGGTGAGAATACAGTGTGATATTAAAGATATGTGCAGATTTTATTTTTAAATTGAAATGTCCCTAATTACCACTTGGTTACCATTTTGGAAAATGTTTTCTATTTTGGTTCTTTTGAGATAAAATTTAAGTTAATAGTAAGGCTCCCAAACATTGACTCTCCTCAATCCATTAAAAACTTTTTTGTGGCAATTTTAATAAGTTTATACAAAAAAAAATCCTTTTTATCATCAATAAGAATCATGGAACTATACTTACAAGCCAGAAAATATGAAGTGTTAATAATCATAAGATTATAGGTAATATGACTCTAAATATGAAAGGTATAAGAGGGAACTTCTGTTTCCCTGTTCCGTAGTACTAGTCTTAATAATGAACAGTACTAGTAGTCTATTAAAACTTGGTGCTTCCTATTGACTGGAGTAACAAAGATTGGATTTCCTCCTATCTGAAACAACAAAAAAGAGACAAAATGCATGAACCAGTGGTTTTCAAGACATTGGAGATAAGAAAACAAAGGACAGTGATTCCTGAGAGATGGAAACACATTATGTGGGTCCTACAGTTGCCCCAGCTTACTGCCTTGAGAGAGTTCCCAGTCTTCCTTGCTGCCTCCGATACAGGGAGGAGGTACTGAAGTGGAGCCCAGCACACTTCCTGAGTTAGATGGAGCTATGAGTCTGGGGACACCCAACGCAGCTAGGACAGGATATCAGAGAGAGGACTGCTATTCACAGAGAGAACCTCAGAGTTCCACAGTGGGTCTCCACAACTCTTCAGCAGAGTACTGATAAGTGAATGTATGTGAAGAAACTACCTGAGGCCGGGGTAAGAATCATGTGAAAGAAATAGATGGACAGTGCCTGACACAGGGATAGGAATAGCGCCTATTCCCACCTATCTGATTGAAGAAACTCATAATTCATATTTTATGGTGCATTGTGTAGAGTACTCAGGAAAGTCTTGCCTTAAAAGTGGGGAATAATTAGCCCTAACAGGGGCACTGCTCCAGACCCAACAAACAAGTTACAAAAGCAAGACCTAAAATGATCAAACTGTTTCCAAGTAGCATAACAAAGTTTAAGATTTATAGAAATCTGAAAATTGTCACCACCTAGAGATTTTCCACAGTGGCATCCAATCAAAGGATTCACAATGACATCCAACCAAAGATTACCAAACATGCAAAGAAGCAGTAAAACATGATTTATGAGGGAAATAATCAAAACCAACCTGTAATTGTCACAGATGTTAGAATTAGCTGTCAAAGACGTTAAAACAAATATAATTATACTCTATATGTTAAAAAAGTAGAGACATGAAAGATATTTTAATTTATTTATTTTAGAGAGCAAGAGAGAGACAGCGTGCAAATGGGGGAAGGGGCAGCTCAATTAAATTAATAAACCTTTAGCCAGGCTGATTAGGGAAAAAAAAGAAGAGAAAAGATACAAATTGCTTATAACAGGAATGAGATAGGATATCACTACAGATTCTACTGGTGTTAAGTGGATAATAGGATATTATGATCAGCTGTATGTAAATAAATTTGACAATGGACAAATTTCTTGAAAGATAGAAATCATCATAGTTCATTCTGAAAGATACATTACCTTAATGGTACTATATCTATTAAATAAGTGGAAATTGTAGTTAAACACCTGTCTATAAAGAAAACTGCAAGCCTAAATGGCATCAAAATAATATCCCAAATCAGTTAAGTAGAGAAATGGTAGGCTTTTCAACAAATGGTCTTGGGACCATTGGATTTTCATGTGAAAAAAAAAAAAAACTTTTATACTTACATTGCACCGTTTATAAAATTATGAAAATTAACTCAAAATGGATCATAGGTCTAAGTGTGAAATCTAAAGCAATAAAATTCCTAGAACAAAACAAAACATATTAGGAGAAAGTTTTTGTGACCTTGGGTTAGGCAAAATTTTATAGATGTGATACCAAAAACAACAAATGAAGTTGATAAACTGAATTCATCAAAATTAAAAACTAACAAAAGCCTAAGGAGAGCATACATTCAGTGATGAGAACTACAGACCGTATGTAATATGGCAGAACTGCCGAGGATCATGGAAACATCTGGACTTCTCCAACTGCCATAGAAAAACAAATGAGAATACCAGTTACTGATTTGAGAGTACTATTGACTTGTTTTCATCTGAGAGGACTATAAAATGAACTAGTACAGAGATGTTTGTGAATTTTCTTAGGCCAATTGATGATTATAAACAGGGCATTGACTTAATAAAAAAAGTTAATAAAAAATTTTATGATTATAAAAATAATTCTTTACCTATTCTAGAAAATTTAAATATGTATAGGAAGATTTTAAGACAAGAAGAGGCCAACCATAATTCTACCCAGAGAGAACCAGTATTAGTCGTATCATTTTGATATATTGTCTTTTTTTAACCCATATGTATATGCTTTTAAATAACAACTTGTATCTTCCTGTACATACAGTTTTGTGTTCTGCTTTCTTTGTATAGCAAATATACTGAGTATGTTCCCATGTCAGTAAATGTTTTTTAAAAACAAGACTTTTAGCAAGTATCTAACATTTTATGAATAAAATTTCCCCAACAAGTAATGAGATAGATTCTTATTTTTTGGTATGACATATAAAAATCATCTTCATTGCTATATGTAATATCTGGGTCATCATATTGTTTAATTTAGTCAGTTTAATGAAATATAGAACGGTCTCAGCAGCTTTGATAGAGGCAACATTGATGGTTTTTATTACTGCCTTCATTTTCAATATATGTCCTATCCGTATTTAAGTAATTCTAGTAAATTAGTTCTGAGATTATTTCAGGTGATTTCAGGATGAGGAAAATGAAATCACTTGGTATCAAAATTTGGTTACAAACTTTGTCATATAAAATAACTTTCCATTTTGATTTTCTAGAAATTGTTTTGAGATTTTGTTTTTTAAATGTGTTTCTTTGCATATCTCCTTTTATTTGCTATTCAAGTTAGTTATTAAGCAACAAATGTTACAGAAAAGCAGATGTTAAAGAAGAGTAAACTTTTGAAATAGAAATTAAAACCAATATTATGTCTTATAATTAGAACTTCACTTACTGTAGCATGCTTTATCTGCACATAAGGTTTTGTGTTAATTTTCCGTATAAACTGGTTTCTTTTTCAGTATCCTCCGAAACCTTATTCAAAACCAGTACCAAAAAGCATGTCAGCAAGCATAGTATGAACTTCTTCATGATGTCTTCCCTTTTTTCACTCTAATTTTTTATATTGATGATATACTTACTCATAAATTTTTCTGTCTACAGAAATCGTGAGATTCTGGAAAATGTGTTAGCTGTCATCCTGGCTATTCTTGTGGCTTTTTTGGGATCTATTCTTCTCATACAAGGCTTCTTCAGAGATATCTGGGTCTTCCAGTTCTGCCTAGTGATAGCCAGCTGTCAATACTCACTACTTAAGGTACCAGCATCTCTCTTCTTTTCAGACTAGGGAATAATATTTGTGTTAAAAGGCAGAGGTTTTGTATCATTCATTGCATTATAGTAAGATGTTAATTTTTAGATTTATTTTCCCTAGATGTTTACATTAGATTGGATAGGGAACAAAAGGGACATATAAACTTTAAAAAATAATGGTATGTAAATGAAGCTTCCTAAGAACTATTTTGGGGGGGGTGGTATTAAAAGAAAGTATTTGGGCATTTGTTAAAAATGAGAATTAACATTCTTGAAATTCATTTAAAAAGTATGAACATCAGCTCTCCCAGTCCCATATTTTAAGTCTTCTATTTTGTAGATTGAATTTATTAAAATCCATCATTGTTTGGATATAGTAATGTCAAGACTAGTATATATATTCTTTGGGACACTGGAAGCAGAAGATTGGTATCCCTTTGCTATTTAAACAGTAGTTCTGAAATGCCAAATGTTACTAATTTTAAGCTTTCTAAAAATGAAAAAATCAAATACCTCATTTTTCACCTTCCATGCAAAATCAGTATGGACTGTTAATGTGGACTGTTTCCTTTTCTTCTGAGCTAGTAAAAACCCTTGCTTGTATTGGTTATTTGCCCAATATATAGTAACATGCAGAACTCTCCCCAGTCCTGAAAACTGTTTGGTTCTGTTTATACTGTTTGCTGTCCTTTCTCTATTTATAGATAGACATCCAGAAAAACCACTTGTGTCAACTCCATTTCTTTCCATTTCTTCAAGACTCATCCATACTTTTTACCTCATTTGCAGTACTGAAACTACAGTCTTTTTGGGCTAATAATCTCTAATTGCCAGATCTATGTCCTTTTTCATTCTTCTTTGTGAGTGCTGTATCATTTAGTACCTATGAATACTGTCTTCTATTTTTATATTATCCTCATTTTTGATCTGTGACTTTATGCTACCCTGATGATTATCCTAACTTTTCAGATAACTTTAATTTCCTTTGTTGATGCCTCTTTGGTCTTTGGACTACTTCTTAGTTTATAAGAATTTTTTAGGATTTTTATCTGGCCCTCTTTTCAGCTTTCAACTCCTTGCCAGTGAAGTCACCCTCTTTTATTACTTTATTTGTTGTCCCTATGTATGAATCATGTCCAGATTTATATCTCAAAGTCTTCGTCATTCTCACAAGCTTTAGTCCTATATACCTAACAGGCAGTTCGGCACATTTTAAAAATACCATATCATCATCTTCTGATAAATATTTTTCTTTCCCAGTTCCTTTGCTTTTTACGGTGGTATACTGACTCAAAATCCTAAAGCCTCTCTGTTCCTTACTTCTCGACCCCTAATAACAAGTAACCAGGTCCCTTTGATTAAATTTGGTGATTCTCTGTCAAAATTTCTGGCCTTTATTCTTTCTATTCCAACCACTATAATCCATCTCTTTATTGCCTTAAACTACTTAAATTCATTCCTTTGCTTCAGTGTCTCTTGTCCTGTTAACTTTGTCTACTGTTTTCAGGTTAATCTGGTTAGATATGGAAAGATAAAAGGTGACTGAGATTTAAAAAATTTTTTTTTTTAGATTTAAAATACCTAGTTGAGGGATGCCTGGGTGGCTCAGATGGTTAAGCGTCTGCCTTCGGCTCAGGTCATGATCCCAGGGTCCTGGGATTGAGTCCTGCATCGGGCTCCTTGCTTGGCAGGAAGCCTGCTTCTCCCCCTGCCTGCTGCTCCCCATGCTTATGCGTGCTCTCTCTCTAATAAATAAACAAACTCTTTAAAAAAATAAAAAAAATAAAAAATCTAGTTGACTAGAAGAATGGTAATAACCATAAACAGAAGTAAGAAAGACTGGACCAGAAGCTTTTAGAGGTCAGATGTTGGAATTGAGTTTAGAGCTTACCTGGTCTCCTATCCAGCCAAGGGCCACATGCCAGACTCACTGAGCTTGGTCCATCCTAGAGTTGTAGGGTGATGATAGACCATCCTAATGAAATTGTTTGGTCTGCTGTTAGAAATAAACTGGAACTTGGGAGAAAAGTCATGATTTGGGAAGTGGCCGCAAAATACCTTTTGAACAGTTGATAAAATCTCTTATAGGGAGACAGCTTAACTTGATGATTTTGATGTGAAAATACAGATAATAGATTTAATACAAATACTATTGAATTGTTTAGTAAGCTTGAAATTTGTGGGCTGAACTAGAATTCTTCTTATAAACTAACCCGTATTTTGTGCGTTTCGTGAATGGAGTGGTATCATGTAAGAAAGCATTCTACCGTAACTATACTTACATGTAATAATGAGCCGGAGTAAGATGGACTGTCTACCATATGCCATTTCAGAAGTGTAAGCTATTTGTGAATTTTTATTTAACCATAATCTTAAGAGTCAGGAAAGATTTGAGATCTCTTTAATATCACAGTGACACCAGTGTCTGGAATTTCATCTTCTCTAATCTTCTCTTATTTTAACAGGCTTAACGTAGGTCATTTCTTAGCTGTGGCATATTTTACTTGAAATTATTTCAGGCATTTTGAAAGTTGCTTATAAAGTTATGAGGACCTCAGTAGTGTAATCTATCTTTTGTTTCATTTTTAGAGTGTTCAGCCAGATTCTTCTTCTCCCAGACATGTAAGTCACTCTGATATGCATGTAACTTATAATTCCCTAACATTCATCAAAACCTTCTTTTGGTCGTATGTCAGATTGAATTAAGATTTATGTTGTTATTTTCTTATCTAAGTTTTGACGCTCTACTAGAGAGATGATTTATTAGCATGAAATAAAATGATATTGTAATTGTGGACTCTTAAATCTCAGTTGGAAATGAGCATAATAATTCATTTTCTGACATCCTGTTTCAGGAGGAGGTTATCAAGTAGACATAGTTCATATAAACTCATAGTTACTTAATAACTTGTATTTAATAAAGTTTGAAGAATAAATCATGAGTAAGTATTGAAAAATAGAATTTTCAAGTAGGGAGAACTGTATATTATTTTGCTTAGGTAATCATTAAGAGCAAGAATAAAGAAGTAATAAATTGATCTGGTGTTTAGACCTATGGACCCTAAGGAGATCAAAACCTTATTATTCACTTTGTGACTTTGGAAAGAGTATTAGCTGCTAAACAGTATTTTTTGTGAAGTATGATCCAATTTTTTTCTAAATTTTTTATTGTTATGTTAATCCCCATACATTACATCATTAGTTTTAGATGTAGTGTTCCATGATTCATTGTTTGTGCATAACACCCAGTGCTCCATGCAGAACGTGCCCTCCTCAATACCCATCACCAGGCTAACCCATCCTCCCACCCCCCTCCCCTCTAGAACCCTCAGTTTGTTTTTCAGAGTCCATCGTCTCTCATGGTTCGTCTACCCCTCCGATTTCCCCCCCTTCATTCTTCCCCTCCTGCTACATTCTTCTTCTTTTTTTTTTTTTCTTTCTTAACATATATTGCATTATTTGTTTCAGAGGTACAGATCTGAGATTCAACAGTCTTGCACAATTCACAGCGCTTACCAGAGCACATACCCTCCCAGTGTCCATCACCCTGTCACCCCATCCCTCCCCCCCACCCCCCACTCCAGCAACCCTCAGTTTGTTTCCTGAGATCAAGAATTCCTCATATCAGTGAGGTCATATGATACATGTCTTTCTCTGTTTGACTTATTTCGCTCAGCATAATACCCTCCAGTTCCATCCACGCCGTTGCAAATGGCAAGAAGTATGATCCAATTTTAAAACCCACCATAGAGTATTTAATAGAAAAACCAAAGGGCGGGGCACCTGGGTGGCTCAGTTGGTTAAGTGTCTGCCTTCGGCTTGGGTCATGATTTCAGGGTCCTGGGATCGAGCCCCGCATAGGGTTCCCTGCTCAGCGGGGAGCCCGTTTCTCCCTCTCCTCCTCACCTGTGCTCTCTGTCTCTCAAATAATTAAAATCTTAAAAAAAAAAAAAAAAAAGACCAAAGGGCATTCTCTTTAAAATAGTTCAAAAACAGACTCTAAGAACAGTTTGTGATGATGCCTTCTTTCTTGAGTATAATTATTATTTTTACCCATACACTGGAATACTTAATAGTGAGTGTAGATGAGCAAAACAGAACAAGGAAGCAAATTATTTTCTTTCAACTGATTGTTTAATATTTTGTAAGAATGCTTTTGAAGTGTATGATAGATGGGAGCATTGCTTTTAACTTCAAATTTTGACATAATTTGAAATTTAGGGAAAAGTTGCAAGGCTTGTGCAAAGAATTCTTGATGCCATTCACCCAGATCCCTGTGTGAACATATACCATATTTGCTTATTCCCTTTCTAGTTTTTCTCCACCACCACCCTGTCCCGCTCCTTCCAGTCCACACACACTTTTCTGAGAGTGGATTGTAGACATAGTGCCCCTTTACCTCTAAATACTCCCATGTGTTTTCCTAGAAACAAAGGCATTCCTTTATATGATTAATTTCAATATAATTATTAAAATCAGGACACTGAACATTGATAGAATACTATTTTGTAATCTACAGATCTTACTCAGGCATTTCCTGTTGACTCATTTGGCATAGAAAATCCCTGATTATGTGTTTGTTGTTTTTAGCCTCTAATCTAGAGCAGTTCTTCAGTATATATTTGTCTTTCATGATATTGACCCTTTTGATGGGTACATGCCATTTATTTTGTAGACCATCCCTTAATTTGAGTTTGTCTGATGTTTCTTCTTGATTAGATACAGGATATGCTTTTTTGGAAGGAAAATTATAAAAGTGTTGTGTTGTTCTCAGTGTGTCATTTCAGGAAGCACATGATGTTGATTTATCCTTTTACTGGTGATGTTAACTTTCATCTTTTGGCTAAGGATAGTATCTACAGGGTTTTTCAAACTCTGCAGTATTAACATTTGGGGCTGGGTAATTCTTTATTGAGAATCGATGGGAGGGAGCGGTGCTGTCCTGTACATTTTTGGATGTTTAGCATTACCTCTGACCTCTACCCACTAGATGCCGGTAGCACACTCCCCAATTGTGACAACCAGAATGTCTTCAGACATTGCTAAATGTCCTCTAGGGGGCAAAATTCCCTCCCACTCCCTTGAGAACCACTAATTATTGTAATGTTACTGTTTTTCTCCTAGAGTTAATAAGTGTCTCATAGGGAGATATTTGGGGATTTCATATATGTCCCCTTGCCCCAAAAACTTCCACCTACTTGTTTTCGTAAAAATCTATTGATACTTCTTGCCTGCATCAGTTATGATTTGATGGTTGCCGACTAGTAATTTTCTAATTCCATCATTCCTTCCACATTTATTAGTTGACTTTTTACTGTAAGGAAGAACTTTTCCTTCTGTGTTTACTTATTTGTATTGGTTTGGATTCATATTTTATTCAGTAGACTATAACATTACTAAGTTTATTTAATGCACAAATTATCTTGATTTGGCCATTGGGAGCCCACCAAGCTGCCCTCTCTGTCCTTTTGACATATCCTTATCAGTCTTTAAGTACTTCCTTCCTTTTCACAATAATATGTTCCAGGCTCATCTATATATACTTTCCCTACCCTAGCCTAAAACCAGCCTTTTCTCTGTGAAGGCCTGGGTTTTTTTAGTCAGTAATGTTATTTATAAGCTGAGATCTTGATGCTAGTAATCTTTATTACTAGAATGTCATTTTTTCTAGGTCCTCTCAATGGATAAAGCTAGGAAATATGTTTAGGTATATACGTATGTGCATGTATACATGTATACACACATCTTGTATCGATTTATGTGTGTATTAAAAATGGTAAGTTCATATTGATACCTCTAATATTTCAGTCCAGTATCACAGGATTCATTCTATTCTTCTTCCTTCTCATATTTGTAATTTCCTTCTGCCACAGTCAGAAACTTGGCTTCCTGTGGATACATTTTGAATCCTTAGAATATAAGCTGTCAAAGATCTCAATAGCTAGCTGTGAGTCTTAAAATCAACTAATCTGACTTTTTTTTTTTAATATCATTTTCAGGGCCATAATCGTATCATTGCCTACAGTAGACCAGTTTATTTCTGTTTATGTTGTGGTCTTATTTGGCTCTTGGATTATGGTAGCAGAAACCTTACTACAACCAAGTTCAAATTATATGGAATAACTTTCACTAATCCACTGGTGTTTATATCAGCCAGGGATTTAGTTATAGGTGAGTCATCTTTAAAGTATTTCAGATCTTAACATTAATTTATTTGTACACAAATAGTTCCCTGATAAATAGATCAATTATATAGTTAAAAATGGTTTTAATAGATTTACTTTGCTGTTTATTGTAATCCTCTCAGTGAGGAACAAAACTATAGGGCTATTATGAATGAAAAATTTAATGATGAATAAATATTACAGTAATTCTTCTGTCTTGAAGCAGATGCGATGGAAGTTTTCCTTTGGATTCTGTATCTCAGATAACTATTATATGAAAATGGTTGAAATAATTTTAAAAGCTGTTCTTTATCATTGAAAAAATTATTTAATACCCAAGCAGTTACATAGAAATAATTTTAAATGATGTTTTTTTTTTTAACTGCTTAGTAGTTTATATTCATTTTGGATTTTTTTTATCATTTATGATCTTAAAATGAACAAAAGGATGGATGTTGTATAAATGTTTTTAATATGCTTTTCTTTTCTTCTGTAGTGTTTACACTCTGTTTCCCAATAGTGTTTTTCATTGGTCTCCTGCCTCAGGTGAATACATTTGTAATGTACCTTTGTGAGCAATTGGATATTCATATCTTCGGTGGTAATGGTGAGTAGTTCCTTTTAAAAATGACAGATTACAGTATTACTTTTACAGATCATTAAGTAATAAAGTAACATTAAAATACCTTTCCAGTTTTCATTTTAGAATTGAAATTAGAAAAAGGAAATTATTTAATAATTAAAGACTGAGCAGGAATTACTTTGTAGATAGAAAGAAGTAGTCAAGTCTGCCACTTTATTGAAAGATCCAGAAATAATGGAGTTACTTTATAAGAAATGATGAAGTACTATTGTCTAAAACTAAAAGTGGTAGTGCGTTTAGATGGAATCTATATAGACTTATGAAATATTTATAAAAGGTTATCTATCCCAAATAGATTGACCCCTGATACATGACATTATATTTGAATTTTGAACTAGTATATGTATTTGGTATATCTCTGAATATGGTTTCAGAGCTTTGTTATTTCTTTAGAATGGAAACACCAAAACCAGATGCTTTTAGTAAAAGTATTTTCCTAGATAAGATTTTTAGAAGTATCTCTCTGTTTGGAGTAGAATATGTGGATATGAATTGATACGCTTAGAAATTTATTCCCCTCTTACATGTATATTTTACTTCGAAAATGAGAAAGACCATACCAGTATTACTCTGAAATAGATAATGGTTTGCAAAACTTGAAAATAATTTTATGGATAGACACTGTGGTTAAAATACATTGTTATTTAATTTAACCATTTAAAATTTTACTTGAAAGTTGAGTGTATAACTAGAGAAAAAACATAAAAGGAAAAGAAATTACTATAACTTTTGTGGTCCATTTCTCTTCATACTTCACGTTTGTAGTCCACATCTTCTAAGCATATGCATTGAAATCATCTCTGTTGATAAAATGTTGTTATTGTGGCTTAAATTTTAAATAGAAACTAATCTCTTCCTTTGTTGCTATGAATCTAGGGCATTTTTGATGTTTTGAAAAATTTTTGAAGGGGTGTGAATGAAGACTAGGCTGGTCTTCAGCATAGCTTAATGGGTAGAAGATTGTTTCAGTATTTAGGGTCTGGAGGGTGCTTAGGGTAGGTAATTTATAATAGTGGGCTTCATCATATTGTTACAAACTTGTGCAAGGTGTTAGCTTTTTAATATCTCCTAAAGAAGATTTTTTCCTGTAGGTTTTTTTTCATGGTTATCATATAAAATTACCATGAACAAAATCTATTATTCATATTTTAAAAATAAAGGAGAGCTATCTTAGCCATCCCCTAGTCCTTATTATTAGTAATCCCATTGAATCTATTTTTTTCCACTTGTAAGAATAGAATTTTTAAGATTTTTTTAATCTTTTATTGAAGTATAGTTCTTTGATGTTGACATACAATATATTAGTTTCAGGTATGTGACATAGTAATTTAATAATTTTATACATTAAAAAATGCTTGCCCCCATAAGTGTAGTTATCATCTGTCACTCTACAAAGTTATTACAATATTATTGACTGTATTCCCTATGCTGTACTTTTCATTCTGTGATTTATTTATTTTATGACTGGAAGTTTGTCTCTTTATCCCTTTCACCTATTTTGCCCAGCCCCCCAGTTTGGCAACCACCAGTTTGTTACATATGTTCGTGAGTCTGTTTCTGTTTTTGTTTTTTGTTTGTTTTGTTTTTTAGATTCTACATGTGAGTGAAATCATATGGTATTTGTCTTTTTTTGCCTGACCTATTTCACTTGGGATAATGCCCTGTAGGTCCATCCATGTTGTTGCAGCAAATGGCAGTATTTCATTCTTGTTTGTGGCTGAGTCTGTTGATGGACATTTACCTTGCTTCCATATCTTGACCATTGTAAATAATGCTGCAATAAACATAGGAGTGAATGTATCTTATCGAGTTAGTGTTTTCGTTATTTTTGGGAAAATACCCAGAAATGGAATTAACTGGATCATCTGGTAGTTCCATTTTTAATTTTTTGAAGAACTTCCATACTGTTTTCCTTAGAGGGTGCACCAGTTTACGTTCCCATCCACAGTTGCATGAGTGTTTCCTTTTCTCCACATCTCGCCAACACTTGTTATTTCTTGTCTTTTTGATGCTAGCCACTGTGGTATAAGCTGATACCTGATTGTGGTTTTGATTTGCATTGATGATCAGTGATGTTGAATGTCTTTTCATGTGTCTGTTGGCCATCTATATATCTTCTTTAGAAAAATTTCTATTCAGGTCTTCTGTACATTTTAATCGGATTACTTACAGTTTTTGCCCATGTTGAGTTGTATGAGTTCTTTATATATTTTGGATATTAACCCTTTATCAGATATGTCATTTGCAGATATCTTCTTCCATTCAGTAGGTTGCCTTTTTGTTTTGTTCTTAGTTTCTTGCATGCTGCAAAAGCTTTTTTAGTTTGATGTAGTCCCAGTTGTTTATTTTGCTTTTGTTTCCCTTTGCTTGAGGAGACAGATCAGGGAAAATATTGCTAAAGCCGATGTCTAAGAGATTACTGTCTGTGTTTTCTTTTAGAAGTTTTATGGTTTCATATCTTACATGTAGGTCTTTAATCCATTTTATTTTTGTGTGTGGTGTAAGAAAGTGGTACGGTTTCATTCTTTTGTGTGTAGCTGTCCGTTTTCTCAAAACCACTTATTGAAGAGGTGGATCTATTTTTTGTTTTTGTTAGTTATTAATTAGTCAGATCTGTACTTTTTTTGTGAGAATTAATTGACACATGGTAATATAAATTTACTTCCTTGGGTAATACAAGTTCTCTTTACAGAGACTAGTATCTTTCGGTGAATACTTAATACATTGCCAGTTCTTTTAAGCCTCTGTAAGCTTCATTTTCCCATACTTCTGTAAATAATAAGATACATTCTTGAAGCATAATGTAGGTACAACTTTTTCTGCCATGTATAAATGTTCATTACTTATAAGGTGAATATATTTTGTCGTGTATCAAAAATTGTGGATAGTAAACCTTTGTCATTTCAAAATCTTTTCAAAGGATAGGATGATGTAACTGAATTTGACATAACTGAATTTTTAAAAGTCAAATGAGTAGATATTTCATTGTAGTCAATATTAAAACATTTCAAATACTTTTAAGATTTTTTTTCCATAAATGTCTGTAAAATATTAAAATTTTTCCCCTTTCCTGTCTAGCCACTACAAGCTTGCTTGCAGCACTTTACAGTTTTATCTGTAGCATTGTGGCAGTAGCCTTACTATATGGATTGTGTTATGGCGCTTTAAAGGTGAGCAATACATTATGGTATGATTTTGTCTTTAAGGCTATTTTTCTTTTTCTTTTTTTTTTAAGATTTTATATGAGAGACAGAGTGAGAGAGAGACAGAGAGAGAGAGATAGAGAACAAGCAGGGAGGGAGGGAGAGGGAGAAGCAGGCTCCCCACTGAGCAGGGAGTCTGACATGGCGCTCAATCCCAGGATCATGACCTGAGCCGAAGGCAGACACTCAACCGACTGAGCCACCCAGGCACCCCTAGGCTATTTTTCTATATGAAGATTGTTTTAAATTGACTAGTAATGATTTAAGCCCCCATCCCTCCATTCTCCCTGCAGCCACTTTAGCATTAATTTCCATGATCTTCGTATATTGAACATTATTCTCATTCTCATTTACTTTGAACTTACAAGCAATTTCATGATTAACCATTATTAAAAGTAAATCCTTATCCATGTAGTAATCATAGGTTAATTTTAGAAACAGATTATTAAAACTAGGTTGGTCTGGGGTAACAGAATATGAAATTAATTTTAGATTTTTACTTAAGAATATATATATATAACTACTATTCACATCAAGATTTCTTAAAACTTGTGAATACAAGTGCTGCAAGGACTGCAATTTAAGATACATTCTAGTAAAAATTAATGCGCTAAAATTCAGCGTCATTATTGGCTTAGAAGGATCTGGATGAGCCTTAATTAGCTCCATTTTAAAAAGATTGCCACCAAGTTGTAAACATAAAAATTTTAAATTTCTTGTAAACAACTCTCAACCCCTATTATTATTATTACGATTATTATCATCATCATCATTAATGGAAGACAATCAGAGAATGATATGGTTGAAAGGACTAAGAAAAGTGACTCATAGCATCCTTTTTTGCATCATTTATTCAGTAGCATTTAGGGAGTGTTTGCTGTGTGCCCAGGACTGTGCGAAACACCATTTCCTGCTTTTAATTGCTTGTCTCTTAGCTGTGATTAATAAGTCAACTAACACTTTCAGTAGAGGATGGTGAGGCTGTGAAAATGGAGTGGTATGGGTATATAAGTTATCACCTTATTTAGCCAAAAGGGATTAAAGATAATTTTCCAAGAGGGTAGCTTTTTAACCAATATTTGACAACTAGAAATCAACTAGTTGAAACACGGGATGAAGAGCCATGGAGTTGTCAAGATAATGTGTGTGTCAGGAAACAGCAAATAATTTGGAATTGCTGGAGGTTTGGGTGCATGAGGAAAGATGGCCTTCAGTAAGGCTGGAAAGATAAGCAGTGGCTGGATTATGAAATACTTTACCCTGAACGTATTGGGTGGAGATGGAAGACCATCATAATTTTTTTTTTTTTGACAGACCATCAGAATATTTGAGGTAAGGTAAAGAAATGATCAGTGTTGTGTTTCAGAAAGATTACTTGGTCTCTGGTGTGAAAGGAGAATGAAATATAAGCAGGAGGGATCAGCAGTGGGGTGAGTTGCATTGCAGTCTTGAGATTATGAGGGACCTGGCTAAAATTGGATTCAGTGAATATATCTGGGGACTCTATGGATAAAGAGAGAAAAGCCAGAAGAGGGTCCAGCATGACTTCTGGGTAGGGTCTGCCTTGAACAGCTGGTTAAATAGTGATACCTAGTGCCTAAGATTGGAAATCTTTGAGTTTAGTGAGGAAGGTGGTTGTTTACAGATGGACACATTCATTTGATGACATTTATGGGGTATCCAGAGAAGCATAGTAGGTAGTTATATGTAGAGAGGTTTGAGGTAATGATTAAAAGATTTAGGATTCATCAACCAAATGACAGTGTAAGTAAAAGACTGCTAACCTGGCCTGACAAGAGGAAATGGATACAGATGGAACCCTGGGAAATCCAAGTATTTAAGTGATGGATAGAACAGAGTCCCCCAAAGGAAACTTCAGAGTCAGGATTGTCTGAAAAAAACTTTTTACTGAATTTGGCAGTTAACAGGTTATTGGTGACTTCAACAAAACAGCTTCTTTGGTGTTTTGGCTGAGGAAGTTAGATTATTATAAGGTTGGGTTTGAATAAATATTAAGGAAATATAAGATAGGCTTTTTAAACATGTACATAATGGGGGTTGTTTTCAGGTTTTTATTTTTTAAAAAGATTTGAGACTTGATTGCATTTAAAAGAGGAGGGGGAAACCCAGTAGAGAGAGAGATACTTGATGGAGCTAAACCCAGGAGGGAATTGGAGGCAAGGAGATCCAAGCTTCTCCTAGGTCCACTACCTGTAAACCATCCTAGCATACAGGAGTCATGTTTCAAAAGTGCGAGGTTATTTGGGAGTTGAAATCATAGAAATTAACAGTGCAATAAGTTTTCTAGCCCAGTGTACAAACGGCTGTTTAACTATAATTATCTAGTAGAAGAGCAGCAATTATAAAACTGCCAAATAGAACCTTGTATCCTAAGGCAGGCAGGAAGATAAGCTATTTTCCTTTTTTGTTGGTTATGGTGGTTTCATTACACTATTTTAGTTGTAGATGTCACCCATTACAGTAAATCTGCACATTTAGAACAGATTTTTATGTGCTAATGTGGAATGATTTTCAAGATAAACCTTTGTTTTTTTTCAAGATTTATTGAAGTATAATCAACAAATGAAATTATAAGATATTAAAAGTGTATGTGATGATTTGATTCGCTGTGAAAGGACTCCCCTCATCAAGTTAATACATTTACCACCTCACATATTTTTTTGTTTTGTTTTGGTGAGAGCATTTAAGTTCTTCTCTTTTAGCAAATTTTAGTTATACAATACAGTGTCATCAACCAGAATCATTATGCTATACATTAGATCCTCAGACCTTATTCATCTTGTAAAAAATTTTTAAGTTTAAGTTTTTTTTTTTTTAAAGATTTTATTTATTTATTTGAGAGAGAGAGAATGAGAGAGAGCACATGAGAGGGGGGAGGGTCAGAGGGAGAAGCAGACGCCCTGCCGAGCAGGGAGCCTGATGCGGGACTGATCCAGGGACTCCAGGATCATGACCTGAGCCGAAGGCAGTCGCTTAACCAACTGAGCCACCCAGGCGCCCAAGTTTATTTAAATTTTTAATTGAACTATAATTGACATATATCATTATATTAGTTTCATATGTACAACATAATTTGATATTTGTATTGTGAAGTGATCACAATAAGTCAAAGTAACATTGTTCAACACACAGTTAAAAAGTTTCTTTTGTGTGTATCCTGATGAAAACTTTTAAGAACTTTCTCCTAGCAACTTTCAAATATGCAATGCTGTCTTACTAAATACAGTCACTATTTTCACCTTCACTCATTTCTCACCGTCCCCCCCGCAGCCTAGACCTTTATTGAAAGTTTGTACTCTTTTACCAACCTTTCCCTATTTCCCCCACCTCCCTGTTCCTAGCAGCCACTTTTCTATTCTGTTTCTATGAATTCGCCTTTTTCTTAAAAAAAGAAAAAAAAGTTTTCACGTATATATGATACCATGCATTATTTGTCTTTTCTCTATCCAGCTTATTTCAGTTAGCATAATGCCATGCATTTCATCCATGTTGTTACAAGTGACAAGATTTCCTTCCTTTTTAAGGTTGAGTAATATTCCTTTGTGGATGTGATATATATCACATTTTCGTGTGTGTGTCTTAATAAAAAGGAAGGTAATACCCTCAAAAATGGATGTTCCTTTGTGCTGCTGGTTTTGTTTTTGTTTTTTTTTTTAAATACATCCAGTGGCTTGTATATACATAGAATGATGGAAGAATATACAAGAAATTGATAACCGTAGTTACTTCTGGGCAGTTAGATGCATTGGGAGACATTATTGCATACCTTTAGGAATTTTTTTTTTTTTTTAAAGATTTTATTTATTTATTTGACAGACAGAGACACAGCGAGAAAGGGAACACAAGCAGGGGGAGTGGGAGAGAGAGAAGCAGGCTTGCTGCAGAGCAGGGAGCCCGACGCGGGGCTCAATCCCAGGACTCTGGGATCATGACCTGAGCCGAAGGCAGACGCTTAACGACTGAGCCACCCAGGGGCCCCTAGGAATTTTTTTTTTTAAATCTATTCACTAATACAGACTTTTACATTTATTATTTATTGATTTCTGCTTTCCTTGTGTTTACTCTTTCATTTTTCCTTGAACTTTTTGGCTCAAAAGCTAAGTTTTGTTCTACTTTACCTCATTCTAGTAATGTGTGTATACTTTCTAGGTGTTTTCATATTTTTAAGAGATTCCTAGAATTTGGGCCATTACAGAGTAAAGAGAAAATGTTCAAACCCACTACAGTGGGTAGAACAAACCCATCTTTTAATCTTTTGTAGTAGGTCAACTTCCCTTTTGTTTTCATAGTTACTGAATTTTCTCCCACTTCTGAATCAGAGTTCATTGAAAACTCAGAGGTGGTTGGATTTGTTTTGCTTTTTGTTTTTTTAGTTAGTGATTCAGTAAAGGTTGTAGTTACTATCTATTTAAATATTCATGAATTATATTAAATGTTGATTATTATAAATTCCTAGTAACTAAGTAAGTGATTTTGAGATCAATTTAAGTATGCTTTTCCTTTGTCTGAGAACAATAAAAAGTAGTGTCAAGCATTTGTCAGATAAAGGCAGGAATCTTTAGTTTTCTCCAAATACTTGTTTTGTTTTAATTGAAGAAAAATTTACATAGAGTGATATCCATGTGTCTTAATTACACAATTTGATAAGTTTTAGCAAATGCATATACCTGGGTAATACATACCCTTCTCAAGATGTAGTTCCATCACCACAAGAAATTTCCCTCATGTTCCTTTTTCAGTCCCCCCTGTCCCAACCACTTTTACTATAGATTTGGGGTTCTTGAACTTCATATAAATGGAATCATACCTCTTTTGTAGCTGATGTATTTTGTTCAATATAACGTTTTGAGATTCATTCACATTATGTGTTCCTTTTTATTGCAGGAAAATATCCCATTTAGTTTTAAATCGTCCCTATTGCCATTGTATGCATATGTCAACTTCTC